GCGCCACTTCCGACTTTTTTCTTTTTGCTTATGTAGTGCTGAGGAATCGAACCCAGGGCCTCAGGCATGCAAGGCAAGCGCTCTACCACTGAGCCACCTTCCATTGCTAGCACAGACAGAGATGATGGGAGGATGGATGTCTACATCTGTCTGTCTGTCTTCCCCAAGTCCGAGTTTACGACCTTGGAGTCACCACACTCATGGTCTTGGAAGGCAATGAGCAGATGCTGGGACCTGAGACCGCATCTTCCCACCAAAGCACCGAGAGATGGCCTCTCCCAGCCCTGCCCAGCCTGCCGCCACCTGCCCGCCACATATCTACCCCCTGTGCGCGTAGAGCTGCCCAGGACGGCCCAGCCTGCACCTAAAGCCAGCCCCGCGTGCTACTGCAGCCGCGCTGCACCCCGGCTGAGATGGCCTTGGCTGGTCCGCACGAGGACTGGACGCCGGTGACTTCAGCTCCCTGTTGCCTCTGTCCTGCCTAGGTTGTTCCTGGTCATCGAGTACGTCAACGGCGGCGACCTCATGTTCCACATGCAGAGGCAGAGGAAGCTTCCGGAGGAGCATGCCAGGTGAGGGCCGGCCGGGGCCGGAGAACGCACCGGGGCCTCCAGAGGAGCGGGGAGTTGAAAGGAAAGAGCAGGTTGGGGGGAGATGGCAGGAAGGGACACTTTCTTCCACGTGTCATAAACGCCAGCGCCTCTCAGGAGCTGTGGCCTGTGCACTGGTGCTTCTTCCCACAATGCCTTAGCGGCCATCTGCCCGCCCTCCACAGTGGCCGTCAGTCCCCTCCCTTTGCATCCCAAAGCCGGCCCCACAGGAAGGGAGGGGGTGGGCTTGGCTTGGCTTGCTCCCCGTCTACGAATCACGTTGGATCCTCTGGAGAAGGTAGGGAAAGATCAAGAACAGCAACTGCTCCCTCACTCATTTTCAAACTTTGTTGGCTGAGGAGGCTCACGGCCGGTGCTGGAGTGCTGGGCTGGCAGGGACAGGGCCTGCCTGGGTTTGTGGTAAAATACGCCTGGCCTGAAAGTGAGCGTTTCGAAGTACACAGATCCCGGGTGCATGCCAGCGCCACGCCCCAGAGGGGGGCTGCGACTCCCGACCCCGGCCCCGACCCCCACTGTCGCCGCGTGGTTGACAGCTCTAGGGGCCTCTCATCAGTAGCACCCACGCACGCGCACATCTTTCTCTGGTTTACGTTGTGTGGCACGATGGAGTCACGGTTCCCCCGCCACTGTGCGTGTCTGCGTCGCCCTGTTCAAGGCTGAACGTGGCCTTCTCACCCGTCCGTCTGTGGGTGCTGGCTGAGTCCTTGTTTCCGCTGCTGGGGATGGTGCTGCTTCTCAGCAGAGCCATGTGGAGTCTTCCTGGACCCCGCGTGTGCACAATGGACTTCATTGCTGTGTCACAGGGCAGTTCTGTTCTCATATTTGTCTTTGAAGTGGCTCCATTTTACACCCCCGTGTGCACAAGGACTGCCGTCTCTACATCTTCATCAACGTGTGCCCGTGTGCCAGTCCTGGGGCTTGAACTCAAGGCCTGGCTGCTGTCCTTGAGCTTTTTGCTCAAGGTTCTCACTCCACCACTTGAGCCACAATTCCACGTCCAGCCTTCTTGATGGTTAGAGATGAGTCTTGGGACTTTCCTGCCCAGGCTGGCTACGAACCACAATCCTCAGTACTCCCAAGCAGCTGGGATCAGAGGCATGACTCCCCAGCACTTGGCTGGGTGATTTTAACCGCGGATGTTCTAATGGGGCATGGTTTCAAAGTGGCCGAGCGCCTCCGGGCGCTGCTGCCTGTGCGTGTGACCCCGCCAGTGTGACTCATCCTTGGGAGAGTGCGGGTCCGTGGGAGGAGCCCGTGGAGCCCGTGGATGGGGCCCGGCCCTGTGACCTCCGCTGCCCGCCCCACCGCAGGTTCTACGCTGCCGAGATCTGTATTGCCCTCAATTTCCTGCACGAGCGGGGGATCGTCTACCGGGACCTGAAGCTGGACAATGTCCTGCTCGACGCCGATGGGCACATCAAGCTGACGGACTATGGCATGTGCAAGGTGAGCGCCCCCAGCACGGCGCACCCTGGCACCCCCGCACCCCCACCTGTGCCCAGCCGAGCCTCTTCCAGGCCGTGGGTGCGAGATCCCCCGTCACTCTGTCCCCGCAGGAAGGCCTGGGCCCAGGCGACACGACGAGCACTTTCTGTGGGACCCCGAATTACATCGCCCCGGAGATCCTGCGGGGAGAAGAGTATGGTGAGTGTGGCCTTTCGGAGCCTCTCCCCGCTCTGATGACTCGAGCAAGAGGCGGGAGGAGCGGCCGGTACACTCACCCCGCCCAGGTCCCAGGCCAGGCCTGGAGTCCGGTCCGACAACCGGAGAGGTTTGTTACCATCTCACGCTCAACATCTGTACACACACACACACCCTCTTCCCGTGCCCCAGCTGATGCCAGCGTCTGGCCCTTGCCCCTAACTCCAGCCCCTCCATTCTCTTACCAGTGAGCCCCAGGGGCCACGGAGGAGAGGAGGGCTCGACAGGCCCAGGCGCCACACCAGCGTGCACACTGGTGGGCGGTGCCGTGGGGCTGCAGGAGAAGCGAGGGGTCATCGGGGATGGCAGGTGCTCGGTTGGGATGCAATCCTGTCAGCGTGGCACTGGGCTGCCTGCCTGGCGTGTACCTGGACGTGGCGCGTACAGCGTGCAGTGGGTGTGTGTGCTGTGCACACAGGTGATTAGCGTGTGTGTGTGTGTGTGCAGGCCAGTGTGCTGTATGTTTTCATGTGTCTGTGCACCCACAGGCACTGTGGTCTTAGTGTTTCAGTGGAACATGTCACACGTAGGCCTGTGTACATCCTGGGGCGGGCACGGTGAGTGGGGTTCTCACCCTTGCGGATAATTGGGCTTCTGGAAGTTTCTTCAGTTGAAGTCACTCAGTAGCAGCGAAGGGAGCTGATTGGTAGACCGGGACCCAGGGTGGAGAGTGTGGCCGCCGGGTGGGGTTTGGTCTGTGCGGGAGACGGTGCGCGGGTGTGGCCGGGCGGCAGACCCTCCCAGCACTGGGACGCGTTGCCCACAGACCCCGACCCATGAACGCAAAGACACTCAGAACGCTTTGTCATCTCAGAGAAGATGCTTTTGCAACCTTAGTTAACTAAACAGAAGACGGAGAGAGGACGGCGTGGATGCGGGTGGCAGGTTGTGGCTGCCCACAGGGAAGCGCGGCCAGCCTCGCGTGCGTGCGCGCGGCCGTGCTGACCGACGGCGACCTCTCCGCAGGGTTCAGCGTGGACTGGTGGGCACTGGGCGTCCTCATGTTTGAGATGATGGCCGGGCGCTCCCCCTTCGACATCATCACCGACAACCCCGACATGAACACGGAGGACTACCTTTTTCAAGGTGCGTGGCCACGTGCCCGGGGCCCGCCCCAGCTCTTCCCACCGCCCTTCTCTTCTTCTAGGGCAAGGATGGAGGGGTCCCCGGCCTGGGCGGAGCTGCTACAAAAAGCACTGAGGGAATATTCCTCTGGCCGCCCATCCCCACACACCCGCATGCTGGGGACTGGCCACAGGGTGAGGGTCCACAGTGGGGTCTCCATGGCCCAGCTGGACAGAACGCGTCCTGATTTAACCCGGACTCCTTCCTGCCCTGGCCAGGTGACCTTAGTAACCTTTAGTGTGGGGTCCAGGCCAGGCTGTCCTTCGGCGCCCTCCGGTGGTCAGCACACAGAGGCCTCCCTGTGCCGGAAGAGGTGGGAGGAGGGGCAGATGGTGCTACCTAGGGTTCTCAAGAACACATGGCTTCCAGCAGCAAGGGGCTCCTCCTCAGAAGCACTTCAAGATGGGTGTGGTAGTGCGTGCCTGTAATCCAGTACTGGGGCAGACCCACGTGGGAAAACTGCAAGTTCAAGATTTGAGGCCAGCTTAGGCTGTAAGGCAAGACAGTCTTAAAAGAGAGACGGAGGCTGGGCAGGTGGCTCAGTGGTGGAATGCTGGCCTAGCACGCATGAAGCCCTGGCTTCCATTCTTCATATGCCACATACACAGAAGCAGAAGTGGCGCTGTGGCTCAAGTGGTAGAGCTAGCCTTGAGCAAAAGAAGCTCAGGTCCTGAGTTCAAGCCCCAGGACTGGCAGAGTCCAGGGACCCTGTGGGCTGCTGGGCAGAATGGGCACAGCCAGGGAGCGGCGGCCAGATGCCTCACCTGCCCATCCTCACAGTCATCCTGGAGAAGCCGATCCGGATACCCCGGTTCCTCTCCGTCAAAGCCTCGCATGTCCTGAAAGGATTCTTAAATAAGGTACCCTGGCCTTGCGGGCGCGTCCCTCGGGGGCCCGGGCTGGGCTGTCTGCGAGGGGGCGGGGGCAGGGGCACCGTGCTGCTGTGGCCAGGTTTGGTGTCCAGGCTGCAGGTTTGTGTTTCCTGCATTGCTAGTGGAGTTCCGCCTTCTCTGGCTGTTGGTTTTTGTTCATACTTAATACGAAATGAAGCAGCAAGAATCACGCCCCAGAGACATGGCGGCAGGGAGGGTGACTTCGCGTGGAGGGGTGGAGCGCCCGCTGGCTCCGGTCGGGGAGGTGGTGTGCTGTCCAGCAGGGGAGGGTGACCTGTCTGTCTGAACTCTGACCCCCAGGACCCCAAGGAGAGGCTCGGCTGCCGGCCGCAGACAGGGTTTTCCGACATCAAGTCCCACGCCTTCTTCCGCAGCATAGACTGGGACCTGGTAAGTCCTCGGACCGCTCAGCACCCGGGGCGGTTGTGGCCTCCAGGTGGCTCCCTGCCTGCAGCTGGTCTGAAACACAGGGTGAGCCAGCCTGGTGCTGGAGGAGCTCCACCGGGAGGCGGGAGCTGGGCCTCCCCGGGCATGTTCTCTGGTGTCTTGGTTGCTTTCCAGAGTCCATGTGATCTGATACGCTGCCGGGTATTGTTCAAGGCTGTGAGCGCAAGGTTCAGTGTTTCTCTGTTAGTCCATTCCTCGTATTAGAGGACATTTGTATAATCTCAAAGTATACAAACGCATGGAGAATTACTGCCACATAGCTATAAAATGTGCATTTGGCTTTTGAGACCAGGTCTCACTGTGTGGACTAGGCTGGCCTTGAACTTGTGATCCTCCTTGGCCTCAAGCACTGGGCTCCCAGTCGTACGCCACTACACCAAATAAAATTGCCCACGCAGAGGGAGCGGACGCCTCCGTCCCAGCGCTACCCCCCCCACACACACCTGGCTTCCAGGCAGCCAGGCCGGCATGGGGGACCCCCCGCCCAGGACCGGGTGCTGCCCACATGGCCGCCAGCCACGTTCCATCCAGTGGACAGTGGTCTGCAGGTGGCGGGGAAGGACGCAAGGCCCTTCCCGGGAAAGACCAGGCCGCTGCTCTCAGTGCTCAGTCCTGACACTGAGAAACCACCTTCAATGCGATTGAACTCAGCACAAGAGAGAAACTGTGAAGTTTCATTTCTTTTGTTGTTTAATATTTTCATTGTTATAAAGGGTGATATATGGAGGGTTTTAATCTGTCCATTGCGGGGCTTGAACTAAGGGCCTGGGTGCTGTCCCTGAGCTTTTTCACTCAAAGTTAGCGCTCTACCACTTTGAGCCACAGCGCCACTTCTGGTTTGGAGTAGTTAACGTGGGGTAAGAGATAAGAGTCTCACTGTCTTTCCCACCAGGCTGGCTTCAAACCGCAATCCTCAGATCTCAGCCTCCTGAGTGGCTGGGATTACAGGCGTGAGCCACCTGCTTAAGCGTACATTCCTTTTTGGACATGTCACCCCTTCCCCTGCTCTCTCTCGGCTCTTCCCTCCCATCCCCACCCGTGCGCTAGATGGTGTATTATGAGGTCTCACTTATCTGCTGTAAGGCCAGCGTTGGTGGCCTAGCTGAGGGCCTGAGGGGTCACCCCTCCCCTCGGGGGCCACCGCAGTAGCCCCTGCCTAGCTCAGCGCAGGCTCCTCGCTCTGCTTCTCCCAATCTGCCACCCTGGGGACCCCCAGAACTCTACTGCAGCATCACGGAGAGGATGGCAACAGGATGGTTCTCTCTGCACAGGCCCCAGCTGGCCTGGAGAGAGACGGGCCTGCAGGGGCAGAAGTCTCCTCCCCCCCACCCCCCTCTGCCCTGCGCTCATGGGTGGGGCAAGTGCGCCCACTGATGGTCAGAGCCGGGGCGTCCACCTGCTGGGGCCAGGCCGTGCGTCTGCAGGCCCAGGACTAGCTGGGGGGGAAGGGGGGAGGAAGGAAGCAAGCTGGCAGCCGCCCTGTGTGTGTAGATTCCGGGGTACCAGGCATGTGGTCCACGCCATCCATACTTCCAGCATTTTTTAGCTGAAGAGAAATCCTTCTGGCATTGGATGGTTCCTTAGATGTGATGTTTTAAGGAAAAAACAGATGGCATTAACCCCCGGAGAGCTCCTTGCAGCCCGCGTACGGTGAGCTCAGCGGGAGCCCTGCGCTGACCCACATCCCCGGCTTCCTCCGCAGCTGGAGAAGAAGCAGGCCCTGCCGCCCTTCCAGCCACAGATCACGGAGGACTACGGCCTGGACAACTTCGACACGCAGTTCACCAGCGAGCCCGTGCAGCTGACCCCGGATGACGAGTGAGTCTTGATGGGCGGGCAAGCGAGTGTGCCCCCAACTCCAAGGTCCAGGGTCCCGCCAGGCGCCCACGCAGGGCTTAGACCCGAGATCAGGGCTCAACGCCAGCCTGGGCAGGAAAGTCCAGGAGACTTTTATGTCTAGTTAGCCAGCAAAGGCCCCAAGTGTAGCTGTGGCTCAAGTGGTAGAGCATCACCCTTGAGCAAAAAAGCTAAAGGACAGCACCCAGACCCTGAGTTCGAGCCCCAGGAGCGGCAGGGCATCCCCGGAGCGGTGCCAGCGCCACTGGTGGCTCCTTCACCCCCACCGCGGGGGGGGGGTCTCCACGCTGAGCAGACGGCCCCAGTCACTGCCCCCCACCCCCATCCTGCGCTCCCAGGGATGTCATCAAGAGGATCGACCAGTCCGAGTTCGAGGGCTTCGAGTACATCAACCCGCTTCTGCTCTCCACCGAGGAGTCCGTGTGAGGCGGCGTGCGTCTGTCGTGGGCACGCCCGTGAATGACCCTGTAACTTACCCTTTACCACAGCGTATGCATGCCAGGCTGGGCGCGGGGCTCCGGGCAGCCAGGGAGGGATGGCCGCTGAGACCGTGGAGGGAGGCGCCCGCGGGCGCTCCGGGCAGAGCAGTCCCGCGTCTGGGCCCCGGGAGGCAGGCTTTGTGCTGGAGGAACTGCTTCCTGGGCCCGCCTCACGTCCAGTGTGGTGGCCCTGCCCGAGGGGACACGGGCACACCACCCAGGTGCATTCTCCGCAGAGACACAGCCCTGCACTGGCGTGCTCCCCAGGGAGGTGCGCGTGTAATGTCCTGGGGAATAAAATGTACCGCTGACGTCCAAGCTGCCCTCTGCTGCCTTTTTTCTGAGGCGCGGCCCCGCGGGGCGGCCCCAGGCCTTGGCCACGCCCTGCTAAGTTCCTGTTTTTTAACACGCCAGCGCAAGCTCGTAGTGCAGCATCCTGCGCGGCAGGGGGCGCTGCTCATCCTGTCTGAGGGAATCCGGCCTGCGGACTCCTAATCCGCTGCTAACACCCCAAAACGAAAACTGAAAACTGAACACATGGAATACTTTCCTGAAAACACTAGCCGGCGCCTCTCAGACGTCATGTCAGAGATTTGGGGGGAAGTATTCTTATCAACAATACTCAATTAGCAAATATTAAAAAGACGTGTGTGACAGCCCCTCTCCTTAAAGTGAGCAGCAGACAGCCTGAGGCCTGCTTCCTGCGTGGGGGGACGCCTGTGGCGTGGGGAGGGCGCCCGAGGCATGGGGGGGAGCACCCCAGGCGCGGGCCAGGCCCCTGCAGGCCGGGCAGGGCAGGAGCCATGTTCTAGGCTAGTCAGCCCTGAACACAGTGGGAAAGGGGCCCAGGGCGGGGGAGGGGGGCTGCCACACACCTTGGCAGGCTGTGAGACCCCTGGCCGGGGGGTGGGGGGAGGTGCGGAGCCTGGCTGCTTCCCAGCGGGCGAGCAGCTTGGTGAGGATTTGGCCGGAGTCCAGGCGATGGCCGGCACCTGGTCGCGGGGCCCCTGGCGCACTCAGGTTTCTCAGGCCTCTGCTGTCACCCAAGGTGCCGGGACCAGTGCTTGGGGCCCCAGCTTCAGGGACCCCACCCCAGCTCCACCTCTGGCAGCCTGGGGACTCCCGCAGAGCGTGCACACTCCCGCCAGCACTACCAGCGCCCAACAGGAACACTTCGTCTCCAAGGACTGGTCAAAAAAACCTTGAGAGCCAACTCTGCGGCTTCTGCAGGGCCCGAGGCTGTGTCTAAGGAGCCCAGGCCCACGTGGTCCCATCCGCCCGTGCTCAGCTGCCGGCACCGTGACCCTTACTGTCCACCGGAGGCCGGGCAGCAGCCGCCCCCTGGGGCACAGCGAGGGCCGCTCCGCTCCGTTAGCACGCGGCCGCTGGTGCACGAAGTGTGAGTCACATCGACCGTCATGGTGATTTGTTACATAAATGTAAAGTGAAAAATGTCTGATGTGTGGTGAGGAAAAAGTCCTAATATCTGCACAACGGCCCCGGGCTTCACAGCTCCGGACCTCTGAGAGGCAGGAGACGATTCTGCGCCCGAGCTGGCGGGCGGGGCCGGCTGGGTCTCTTGTGGATGTGCCAGTCATGTGACACCCCTGCACGCCCACCAATTAAAGACTGGTGAACACACGCCGATTGTCCTCACTTTTGTTAGGAAAAAAGGTGTTGGGGCTGGCAATGTGCTTGTGTCAGGTGCGAGTGAGCACCGTTCTCAGACCTAAAAGTGCTTCAGCTGTGCGCCGCTGGCTCATGCCTGTAATCCTGGCTACTCAGGAGGTGGAGACCTGAGGATCTCGGTTCAAAGCCAGCCTGGGCAGGAAAGCCTATACTCTTCTCTCCAATTAACCAACCAAAAAGCCGGAAGTGGAGCTGTGGCTCAAGTGGTAGAGCACTAGCCTTGAGCACAAAAATCCAGGACCACACTCAGGCCCCCGCATATACACAAGAAGTATGTTTTCTGGAAAGTGAGGTGCGGAGCCCTTTCCTTCGATTCCGGCAGCTCCTGGGGACAGACCACAGCAGCACTGCGCCACGGCCGGGCCAGGGTTCCCAGCACCCGGCAGGGCTGCCATGGAGGCCTTCGGGTTGGTGCGACCCACTCCGGAGCTCTGGCTCGTGGCACCACTGGGGATGTTAGCGGTGGCTCCGGGCGCCCTCCTCTGCTGGCCCTGCGGGTCCTGGTCTCTGCACCTCCTGTGGGCACCACCAGGGCACGGAAGACATCAAGCCGGTGAGCTCTGGGCCAGGTGCCCTCCCCAGCTGTGTGCACCACGGTGCAGGCGCAGCCCGACTCCAGCTCCCCCGCTCTCCAGTCTTGACCTCAGACAGACCCGTCTTCTGCTGCTTCCCAGGTCCCAGAACCTCTGCGCCTGGGCTCAGCCATGCCACCTGCACCCCAAGGCCCAGCCTCGCGCCAGGCCCTCGCCAGCAGGCCTCACGCACGCGCACGTCCTTCCTGCGTCCTGCCGCCGTGAGGACCGCACACTGGGTCCGGGCCACCCCAACCCACCCGCAGCCATCTTGAAAATACCCCTCTCTCCATGTATTTCTCCAGTTGTCAAATCAGGGTCCCACGGCTCCCCCAGCCTCCCAGCGCAGTGCCAGCGCTGCAGCTCTCTGCCCGTGGTAACCCCGTGCACCGCGTGGGGATTTGAGCACGTGGAAAGAATGGAAACGTGGCTGTGGAGGGCGACCCAACTGTGTATACAGCGGTGTGGAGGCCGGTTCTGTGTGAAGGCCCTCCCCCCCAGTCAGCTGCTGTGTGATCGCCAGTGAGCTGACACCTGTGCTTAAGTCAGACGCACGTGTATTTGGGTCAGCAACAAGGCGGGCCTTCGGGAGCAGCTCACATCCTGGAGTAAAGGTGCTGTGAGCGGACGGCAGCACCCAGCACGGGCCTCCCAGGGCCCCCGAGGCAGCAGCTCACCACGCCACGTCCTCCATGCCCTCAGCCAAGCACTGCGCTAGGTGGCTGTCCACGTCCAGCTGGTCCATCCTGAAGGGAAAAGGCCCATGGAGGCTGCAGTTAGGACGCCACCGTGCTCTCCCTGCCTCGCCTCCCCAGGCTGCAGGAGCCCCACCCTCTACCGCTCAGCACCGCGGGGAGGGGGGGTCACCCCAGCTTTCATAAACCAGGCCAAGCCCCGCCGCCTGGAAACCCTACAGGCCAGAGGCCTCTCCGTGCCTCAGCCCCGGGAGGCCAGCCCGGACGCCTGCCTAGCTGCAGACCACAGGCAGAGACACAACCTGAGCATGGAGGACTGAGGACGGGCAAGACAGACCCTCCCCGCCTCCAGGGCCTGAGCACGGCAGAGGCTCCGGCCCCAGTCCACGCCCAGCCATCGGCTTCCATCAACCTGCAGCCAGGAAAGACCAGGCTCCCACTGGGCACAGGGGAAGGCGCTGCACGCAGGGCCTGCAGGACTCCTTCGCCACCCAGGAGCAGTCGGTGCCAGGGAGTAACCTCCACCCAGTTCTGAGATTGGAAAGGGCGCTGGAAAGAAGATACACACCCAGGCCAAGAGCCTGGGCAGCATCTGGACCTCAGGTGACCCCATCAGCTGGTGGCTGCCCACACTGCACGTGGACACGAGGCCGGGGCAGCTGGCGTCAGGTTGGCTGGTCAGCAGAGCTACCAGGAACGCCCCAGGACTGAGCATGCTCAGTCCGTACCTGGGTCTGGTCTTGCTGGGGCCAAGGCCTGCGTGTGCTGAGATGACTTCCACAGCACCGCTGCACCAAGCCCGCAGGCTCGGCGGTTCAGAGGCAGCGGAATCGCAGCTCAAGGCTAGCCTGGGCATGACTCACACAGTAGAACACCTGTCTAGCACATGTGAAGCCTTGAGTTCAATCCTAGTATGGGGAAGGCAAGGGCCAGGGAAGGGAAGGCTGGGTATCCGAGGCTCCTCCTATAGTCCTAGCTACTTGGGAGACTCAGGCGCTAGGCTGAGTTCCAGGCCAGCCTGGGCAGAAAATGTTCTAAGAGACGCCCCGCCCCAACACAGTGCTAGGCAAGGTGGCACGCCCCTGGCAGAAAGCGAGACCCTAGTTCAAAAAGAATGAATGTGATTCCCTGCTGGAGGAAGGGCTCCCACTGCTGCTCAGGTGACAGACAACTAGCCTGGAGTACAGGCCCCGGGACAGCACCGATACACACACAACATCAGTAGGGGCTGGGAAGGTGGCTCAGTGGTAGAGTGCTTGCCTAGCACGCGTGAAGCCCTGGGTTCCATTCCTCAGCACCACATACACAGAAAAAAAAAGATGTTGGAAGTGGAGCTACGGCTCAAGTGGTAGAGTGCTAGCCTTGAGCAAAAGCAGCTCAGGGCAGTGCCCAGGCCCTGAGTTCAAGCCCCAGGACTGGCAAAAAAAAGTGAGTACTAGAGGCATGGCTCAGTGGTACAAGTCCCTGCTTCAAAAGCACGAGACGGTGAGCTCAAAGCCGGTGCTGCGAGGTTATTCTTCCCCAGGGGTGCAGGATGTGCCCAGGGTGTGTGCGAGCGCGAAGCTGTTTATATCATGGGCACCGGTGCCGGCGGCCTGGGCCCCATCCCCCAGGAGAAGGCGTTAGGCTCCAGCACTGTGCCTGTGGCTAGTCAAGTACCCAACCCCTGTCACACTGGAGTGCTTGGACAGACGGAGGGCAGGACAGAGACAGAGGGGAGGACATGAGGACCAGCCCTCCCCGGTCCACCAGGATGGCAGCAGAGCTATGGCCTCGGGCTGAGTTGTGGCCCAAGTAGTTACTCTCCTTCACGGCCAAATGGAAGAACACACTAGAAGCATTCCAGACACGCTAAGACCTGAACCTACTTCTCTGACACCCTACTTCAGAATCCAGGCACTTTGCCAAGCCTTCATGCAACTGTGCAGAAAGCTCAAAATGGGAGCTGCTTCCTCCTCAATCTGCCTGTCTTCCAGAATCTTTTTTTAGATTCTCTGGAAATGAAAGCCCTGCTAAGACAAAAGCCTCCCCCAGCGGGGGCCTGGGCGGCAGCAGGAAGGGCTCGGGTTCTGGGGGAAAATGAATTCCCGCCAGGGCTGGAGCTCCCGGCACTGGGTGCCTTTCCACCCAAAAGGCAGAGGCTTTTGCTTTAAAACACTCGCGGCCTCACCAGGATGAGCACAAGGGGTGTGGGCCACGTCCGCCCGGGCATCGCTGCGTGGGATGGGGCTGTGGGGGGGAGGGGGCCCGCACACGTGCACACATATACACACACGTGCACACACACAGATGGCCCACCTGAAGCCACCACAACCTGTCCCCCAGCCAGCCCACACTCGCCACTCCCTGAGCAAGGGGGAGGGGCGTGGAAGGGGTGGGGCTGGGGCCACCCCCACCCCCCACTGATGAAGACTAAGATGAAGACATCACTGTGGAGAAGCCCATCTTAACTGGTCTGTGGATTTTGATAATTGACCAGACTGTTCGGTGTGTTTGGGGTTGTCCTTACTAACTTTAGAATCCATCCCCCTTCTAGATATTTCTGGGTCCCACGGTCCCCTGGTCACAGAACACCTGGAACCTGCTGCCTGATCCAACTCGTTAGGAACTGACCAAGTGTGTTCACTCTCCTGACCCACCAGGTCCAGGGCAGTGTGGGGGCAGCATCAGTGCAAGTGGGTCCTAGCCTCCGAAGTGAACGTCACAGGCTTCATCCTGAACGGGGTCCGGTCACATGCCTGTCCACACTGGGAATGAAGTGACCCCCTGTGGGGCCACTCTGAGCTACTGGAGATGGGGGGGAGGCAGGCAAACCTCTCTGAGCACAGGGCCCAGTACGGGGAGAGAGAACCCCCAACCTGCTCTGAGCACAGGGCCCAGGATGGGGACAGGACCCCAGACCCGCGGCAAGCCCTGCACCAGCGACAGGACTTGAACCCGGGCTCCCAAGGCCTCCCTTGGCTTTTGGGCTCTAGCCTGGTGGCCGTGCCAGGGAAGTCTGCCTCCTCTCCAGCTTTTTGCTGGGTAAAGGGGGATTCACCTCCCAGAATTCCCTGCCCGGGGCCGGCCTCAGACCCTCGCGAGTCCCGGGTCCCCAGGACGGGCACTCACTGGGGGGTCCCGGGTCCCCAGGGCGGGCACTCACTGGGGGGTCCCGGGTCCCCAGGGCGGGCACTCACTGGGGGGTCCCGGGTC